CCCGCACGTCCGCCGCTCCCTCGCTGCGTGGCGTGGGGCGGGGGACTCGACCTCCCGGAGCCTCAGTTTCCCCCTGGGTGAAATGGAAACAGTAACCGTGTCTGCCTCCGAGGGCTGTTCGAGAATTAGATGGGAAGGTGTCGTTTACCGGCCCGGGTGAGCGGGCACGCAGAGCCCGCCACAGGAGGAGCGCTCGGAAACCCGGAGGGCAGAGGGATTCCGGAGGCCGCCCAGTCGGCCCGGAGGAACGGGGCGGGGCGGGCCGCCGCAGTGTGCGGAGGACTCCCTTCCTTCTCTCGGCAGCCAGGAGGGGGCGCTGCTGCCCACTCTTGGCTGTGAGGTCCTGAGCATCCTAGGCAATGCGGAGGAGATGGGGAGGCCCAGGGTTTTCACGTACCACTGGCCAACAACTCCTGAGCCAGGCAGTTTCAGGCACCTTAAATGCATTACCTCACTTCACCGTCACACAAGCCTATGAGGTTACACTAATACTTATCTATTTTACACATAAGGAAGCTAAGGCACAGAGAGGTTGAGGACTTCACTTAAGATCACACAGCCAGTAATTCAACCCTAGGCAGTGTGGCTCTGAAGCCTGAGCTCATAGCCACTCCACCGCACTCTCTCTCTTGAGAAGTGTATTTCACTTAGCCACTAGTATTAGCCCATTTTACACATAAGAAAATTGAGACTTAGAGTGGCTTTGAACTTGGGAGCTCTTGATTATCTCCTTAGAAAGAACAGCGGGGGCCAAAGGCTGCGACTCAGTGTTCACTGTTCACTGGGCCCCTCCCCTGCCTGGAGCTGGATGGACTCCCCGCCCACCGTCCAAAGCCCAGCCCCTCGGTATGGCCCTCAAAACCTCTGCCCTGCGGCCGACCCAGGCTTCTTGGAGCTGGACTGCTCAGCAGGCCAACTGAGTGTGGCTCCAGGCATCGGCATGAAAGAGCTGGATATTTGATGTTTCAGGAAAGCACGTGGCAAAATCAGAACGTGGTGGGAGTTCCTTCTCCTTATGGTTCAATATTGCCTTTATTTTTCATTACACCTGGGGGGTGGGCTTTATAACCTTTCCAAGGCTAGGGCATCTGAATGTCTTCATTCACCTGGGGCTTGAGCGAACATCTCCGATGCATCCCGCCAGCCCCTCGCGCGCTCACACCTCAGTGCCTTTGCTCACACTGTCCCCTCCACCTGGAGTTCTCTTCCACATCATCGTTTTCTCCTGTCTATAACCAACTCATCCTTCCTTCGAGGCCCAGCACCCACACCCTTCCCAGGAAGCCTTCCCAGATGCCCTGTGGATGCACCCTCCTAGCCTTGTCTCTGCATCTTTCCCCTCTGCCATGATGGTAGGTGGCTGGGACAGTTTAGGGAAGGGCTGGTTTGACAGGGACCTCTCTGGGGGCTGTAGGCATAAGGACCGAGGGGCCAGAGGAGAGGACACTGGAGGCCTCTACAACAGACACAACCTGGGGCCTTTCTGGAGATGCTGTGTGTGTGTGTGGGGGGGGGTCCTCATTCTCCTGCCTCTCCCCTTCCCCAACCCTGGTCCCTTTGAGGAAGGCTACCCCCGACCATCTTCCGCATTGCACACATAAGGAAACTGAGGCCAGAGTAGGGATGACCCGCCCAGAGGTCCCAAGCAAGAAAACCACACAAGAGGCATGGCCCCAAAGTTGGGCCCACCTGCCAGCACCTATTGTCGGGTCTTATTGCTGACTGGGATGGGCCAGGAAACCAGCAGCTTCCTTCCCGGTGTGTCAACATGGCAGCTTTGTTTAACCTGCCGTGTGTGGGTAAATGCCTGGTACGGGAGCAGAACGTGTGTGTGTGTGTGTGTGTGTGTGTGTGTGTGGCAGATTCTCCACCTGCCCAACATGGAGCTTTCTGTACAACACGGCCCTGTGCCCAGTGGGGCCTGAGCTTAGAGAGAATGAGGGGACAGCAGCGCCTGGGAGTGAGGCTGAGCGTGGGGGAGCGTGGCCCTGAACACGGGCATTCTGTAGAAGTGTGCACTCCCACGCTGGGGTGGGGTAGGGCCTTCCAAAGTGCCCTCCAGGCCCGTCCTCCTCCTCTGAGGAGTCCCTCCATTCTTGGGGAGCCTGCCCCGGGAGCTTCCCTGGGTGACTGCTTTCCCCTCCCCCAGAGAACCGAGTGTGGACCTCAGCTTGCGGGGCGCGTGTCTGGGAGAGGGATGCTTTGAGCTAGAGGTCCCATCCCCTGGGGTAGGAGGGTGGGGCTGTGAGGGATCAGATCCTCCCAGGGGATGGGGCGACAGCTGTGGTGCAGGGCCAGGAACCTGACACCAGGGGTGGGCCCCAATGCCCCTCAGGAAGAGGGGAAGGCTGGGCAGGCTCCGTGGGAGCAGCAGCAGCCACCCACCTCCCCGTGGTTGACCCCACCCCCACCCCGTCCCTGCCCACGCCTCGCGCTCAGGCGGGTGGTTCTTCCTCCCATCTCCCTCTGCCTGGAGCTCTCCCCACAGGCCCTGCGCCACTCAGGAGGCCACGGGCCAGGCCCACTCTTTGCCCTGGGTCCCTGGGGGAGGTGTTGAAGACAAGGTGAGCTTGGAGGGGCCCGCCCTGGTTTTGCAGTCAGGGCCTCTGGGCTTGAGCGTGGCTTCACCTCACAGCGATTGTGTAACTGGGCAACCTTGCTAACCTCCCTAGGCCTGCTCCTCGCCTGTCAGCTGAGCTCGGCCTGGGTGAGAGGTGCCGAGGACAGGCAGCTCTCAATCCTGGCTCCGGCTCCAGCACCCGGTTTCAGGCTCTGAGCGGGCCCAGCACGAGTATATACATATATTTTTTTGAGGAACATCAGCCCTGAGCTAACATCCGATGCCAATCCTCCTCTTTTTGCTGAGGAATTGTGGCCCTGGGCTAGCATCCGTGCCCATCTTCCTCTACTTTATATGGGACGCCGCCACAGCACGGCTTGATAAGCAGTGAGTAGGTCCACGCCTGGGATCCAAACCTGCAAACCCCGGGCCACCAGAGCAGAGCACCTGAACTCAACCGCTGCGCCACTGGGCCGGCCCCCCCGCGGGAATATTTTTAAAGAGCTGCTCAGGTGCTCCTATGGTACAGCCAGGTGGGACCAGGTTACACAGCGCTGGATCACCGGCAGAGCACCGCCCCCCAGGGGGCAGGGGGAGGGTGCAGGCTCCCAGCTCTGGGCGGAGCTTCTCCTCTGCGGGGTGGGGGATGGGGGGACGGTGGAGGAGAGGGGAAGAAAAGCGGGGAGGGAAGATGAGGGAAGGAGGAAGCAGAAGGAAGAGGTGGGAGGAGTAGGGAGGGAAGACGGAGGAGGGTGCCATTTACCTAGCAGCCTCCGTCTGATCTGGGGTTGTTTTCTTTTTGGCTGAGGAGAAAATCTGAATTTCAAGGCTGGAGTCTGAGGCACCAACTGGGCCAGTCTGGCCTGGAGCCTTGGGCCTTTCTAGGCCTCAGGGCCCCTGGTGACGTTTTCTTCATAGAAAGGCCGCTCGCTGCCCTTGGCTGCACTTCCTCTGTGCCAGTCCCAGGCTCAGCACCGGTGTGGTCTCCTTTAACCTCCTGGGAGCTGCAGGAGGCTGGACCCCTTGTCTCCTCGCGGATGGCCCTGAGGGCTCCAGCACCCAGCCTGCTGGGGTGCCGCCAGGACCCCCCCAGACCACATCACACTTCACAGATACTGTCCGGTGGTGGAAGCACCTCAGCAGATGACACAAATTTAGCAGAAACAAGAAAGACCATCAAGCCCCAGAAGCCCGGGGTCCCTGGGCCGGCCAGCAGCCAGTGTGAATGTGGGAGGAAGGGCCCCTGAGCGCCCCTCCCCAGGGCTGTGTAGTGGGTGCAGTGTGGGGGCACTGGGTGCCTGGTGTGCCGGCCCCTCAAGTTCAGTCGTCGGTGACGGAGGGCCTGTCTCTGGTCCCGTGATGGGCGTGGCCTCCCCCCTGCCCTGGACAGGAGCCTCAGATCAGAGCTAGAGGTTTCCATGTGAGAATCCCACCCCCACTCCACAGTGAACATTTCTGAGCTCAAGGTTGTACCGGCACAGTCACGGGTTTTGCTGAGAATGGGCTGCCAAAACCACTCGTGCAGCCTTGACTTCCCTGCCTCGAGGGGGATGGGAGGCCTTTGTTCGCTGAGGAAGGGCCTGGAAGAGCCCAGAACTGAAAACAAGTTCCTGCACACAGTGCGTTCTACAGGAGCCAGCCCCGAATCGGCACAGGCCACCTTTCCCCCACCCTCCAACCACCCATTTTTCAGAGAAGAGGTGATGCTCCTTGCCCCAGCCTGCGAAGTTGGCGGTGGGAGGTCAGAAGCTGAGCGCCTGACCAGGGGCTCTCTGCCCAACCCCCACACCAAGGTCCTCTTGTGGGCAGGGGTTCCCCCTGGGGACCCCCCACAATAGGCTGTGAGCAGAGAGGAGAGCACAGGTGCAAGGCTCAGGAGACAGGCCTTGGTAGGCCCGACCAGCCTCGGGGAGGCTCTGTCGCCCAGAAAGACAGAAGCCCAAATGCACAGGGCGCCAGCTCCTCGCGAACCAGGAGGGCGACCGGTCCTGCAGAGGTGCCCACAGAAACAGCGGCCAGAGATGTCCAGCTGGGAAGGCCCGAGAGGCGGGACACCCTGGAACACGTGGCTACTGAGAAGCGTTTAACTTCCAAAGCTTTTGAAATATTTCCAATATTTACATGGCTTTACACAGATAAAACTCAGAGAGCATTCAAGGTTAACCTATAAAGCCAGCACTCTTGCTGTCTGGGTGCTGAAGTGCTCTGAGGAGGAAGTGAGAAAGGGGAGGCATCCCGGGTGTGCCTCCTGAGGAGGAAACCCAACCGACGGCTTCACAGCAGACAACGTGCCAAGGGGACACTGAGGCCCAGAGACGGGAAGGGACTTGCCCCGCGTCCCCTGGTGACGGGGCTCAGGGGGCTGGACCTCTGCTCCGCGGCTGTCCTCCTGGGGCCTGCCAGTCCAGGGTGAAAGGGCTCGGGGCAGGGCAGGGCCAGGTCAGGCGTCCCCGTCCGCCTCGTCCTCGCTGGTGCAGCCCTCGGGCACCAGGGGGCGCTGGGACGCCCGGGTCTCCAGGTACTCCGCCTTCAGGCGCTCCAGCTCCCGCAGCTCCGCCTCCAGCCGCTCCCGGTGGGCGGCCCGCAGCTGCCGCAGCTGCTTCATGGGAAACGGGTTCATGTCGTTGAAGGCGATGCTCATCAGCTTCCTGCGGGAGCGCACAGTCAGTCCGCGGCACAGGGCCCACGAGGGCCCGTCCCCCGGGGCCTTCCCAGGCACCCGCGTTCATTCCACCCCTGTGGCTGAGGCCCGGGCCCCTGCCCTCAGGGAGCTCACCTTCTGGAGCGGAAACAGTGAAGAAGAAGACAGTTTCCACCCAAAGTGAGTGATATGAACTGAAGGAGGAGGAAGCTTAGGGCTATGGGAGCTCTAAACCACTAAAGCAAGACTGTCAGGGAAGGCTTCCTGGAGGTGACACATGTGCTGAGTGTTGAAGAATGAGTAGAAGTTGGCCAGGCAAAGATGGTGGAGATGGAGGTGGTAAGGAGGCATTCTAAGTAGAAGAACCTGCAAGGCCAAAAGCCCAGGGGTGGGTATTGTCCTAGGAACTCAAATAATTCTGTTTGGCAGGATCACAGGGCATGGGTGCTGGGGCAGGAAAAAGTGGGCAAGAAATGAAACTGCATGGAGGCCTCGAATGCTGTGTTAAGGGGCAGACAGATGACCACTGAGGCAGTGGAATGTCCCTAAAGATTTCTCAGCTGTACTGGAGGATCAGTATCACTAACGAACCTACACTTGGCAAACCTCAGCCTCCCCTCTGCTCTGTGTCCTGGGGGGGCGTGTGTGGGTGGTGGGGGTGGTGGAGGGGGCAGGGTGGGCTCTCACTGGCTGTTGCAAATGGTCTTGGTGAAGAAGTGCAGGTACTGGTAGATCTCCAGGGCATCCTGCAGCCGCAGGATCTCCTCCTCATTGTACTTGAAAATGGCCAGGGCGTAGCGGAACACCACCTGGGGGCAGAGACGGGCTCAGATGGGTCCTGGGGGCCAAGGCAGGTAATCCCCAGAGGGAGAGAACCCACAGGCCCAGGCAGCATGGGAGTCCCCACACAGGCTGCAGAGGTTGAAGGCTTGGAGGCAAAATGTGTGTGGGCAGGCCGGGGTAGGGGGAGACTGGGAACCCCAAGGGGAGCGCAGTTTGCAATCTGGGGGTTGAGGGTGCTTTCGAAACTGTGCGGTGCAGTACGTTATCAACCACCACGGGGACACTGGGGCAGAGGGCGCGAGCAAGGCGAGAGGCAGAGCTGGGAGCAGACCCAAGCGCCAGCCTCCCAACCCGGGGCTCAGTCCAAACAGGAGGAAGAGCGGGAGGGGCCCAGGTGACTGGAGAGGCAGCGAACAGAGCAGGGATGTGCCTCCGGGGTCACGCTCATGCCTCCTCTCCGGGAAAGGAATCCCCCAACCTTAGCATGCATCCTGGAGGCAGAAGCACTGCTTCCCTCACGTGGGCAAAGCACTGTAGTTATAAAGCCGTGCTCCCATTCTCCACGGGCAGAATCCAGACCCAGGGGAACAAAGGGAATGGCCGGGACCCTCCTGCGCCCCGCCCCCCCCGCAGCGCCCTACCTTGGTGCCCTCATACAGGAAGGCGTCCCAGACCTGGAGGAGGATGTTGCTGATGAGACTGTCTGCGAAGACCACGAGGAACCAGTTGAAGGTGACGAAGGAGAGGTCCACGCGGTGCTGCCCCAGGTGGGCCATCAGCCTGGGCAGCTTCTCCGAGAGGAGGTCCTGGAGCACCCGCTGGTCCACCTGGCCGCCGCGAGAGGGCCCGTCAGCTGCCGCCCCAGGGAAGGGGCTGCCTCCCTCCCTGCCCGCCCCTTTGCACCCAGCCAGTCCACACACCATCGTGGAGCCCGCAGAGCAGGTCCCGCCCTGCCTGGGGGCGCGGAGCGCCCGGAGGAGCTAGCGCCCAGCTTGGCCGGGAGAAGGTACAGCAGCCATCACTCTCCTGCTCCCGGGCTGGAGCACTGGGCTCTGACGCAGAGGTCTCTGTGGGCTGTTAAAGCCTGGCCCAGCGCAGCTCGGGCGTGTATCGGCTGACACCACGCCTGCTTCTCTGTACCCATTTTGGACCTGGCACACGACACTCAGACCCTCAGTGTGTCCGTCTGGGGCGAGGTCCTGGGGGCCGGTGTCAGGAGCCACACTGTCCTGCCACACCGGACATCGAGGAACCCTCCTAAAGGGGGTGCTGCTGGGCCATGTTGCCGATGCCCTCTCGGTGTGGTCACTGTCACGCCTCCCTCCTTGTTTCTCTTGACTCGGTTAATTACCCCCAGCACTGGTGCCTCCCCTGGCTCCAAGACACGTTCTGTGTCGTCTGCCTCCCACCTCTGTGACGAGCCCACGTCAGTCTCCTCTTGTCTTCCCTTCCCAGGACTGCTGTTTCTCAGCTCTCTCCCTCTGTCTAAGTCCCCTTCCGGGCTTTAGCCTCCACTGTGTCAAACACCCTCCCCCTTCCTTCCTTCCTCTCCCAGAACCCCAGGTCCACTGCGGAAGCCAAGTGTCCAGCTCAAAACCTGGGTCATTCACTCAATCTAAGACACCACTGAACCTCCAGAAGGCTTTACGAATGAACTGGTCCGATGTCTGAGATTTACAGCGAGACCTTCAAAGCGGAGGGGTGGGTGGGGGTCTGAAGGAAACAGTACTGGCCTCCCGATGTTGGTAATTACTGAAACTAGGTGACAGATATGTGGAGGTCCATTACGTGATTTTCTCTGTTCTTCTGCACATTTGAAACTTTTTATACTAAAAAAAAAGAAACCACCACCACACATTGCTTATACAACACACCTCAATTTCAGAGATGTTACAACCTGAAGATAAAATATGGAACATTTCCCAGCCTGCCCTGTGAGTAGAGGGAACATGTGAACAGTTCTGACCAGCAGGTGGGAGCAGAAATTGCTGGGTGGGGAAAGCTGTTTGAAAGGGAGCCAGCTCCTGCCTTTCACCCTCTGCTTCTTCCAGCCTGGACCGGGGCCACAGTGCTGGAGGTGCTGCAGCCATCTTGTGACCACGAGGTGATGAGCAGGAGGATGAAAGCCGCATGCCAGGGACGGCAGAGCAGAGAGCTGGAAGGAGCCTGCAGCTTTCTCAGTATCTGAGAAAAATAATCCCCCATTTGAGCCTCTGTTAGGTTGGCCTCCCTTCCATGCAGCAAAGACAACCCTTACCTGAGTCACCACCTCCTTCCTGATGACTCCTCAGTCCAGCCCTGACCTCTGTCCCACACCTGAACACCGACTGTCTCCTGACTTCCCCACCCGGTGGGCGTCCCAGAAGGCGGAATCAGCACTGGGCGATCACAGTAGGAAAGAACAGGACGGGGGCAGGTAATGGCTTGGTAGCTTTGGGGTGGGAAGTGAGAAGGCTCCCTCGGGGTGGCCCCTCTGTAAAGTAGGAAGAACAGGAGAAGGCAGGAGGAGGCAGGAGGGGGAGAGGCTGGAGGTGGGAGGTTTGAAATGGTTTTGCATTTACACCTCTCAACAAGCCCAGGAGGTAGCTGTTACTCCCATTCAAAGGCGGGCAGGCCTGGCGTGCAGAGAGGTGACGTCACTTGCCAAGGCCACACAGCTGGTTGCTGGCGGGTTGGCTGTGAACCAGCTCCGCCCGACTCAGGGCTGGCCTGTGCTCAGAGGGCAGTCGAGGAGGTACGGAGATGATGCAGGCAGCCTGCTTCTCAGTAGGAACGAGGAGCGTGTGTGAAGAGTCTCCACGTCCCATCCTCCCAGTCCCACCTTCCACCCTACCTGACCTCCGTTCTGGAACTCCCGACTGGCAACAGGAAGTCACACTGCAGTTTCCCCGCCCCCCACGCCCCCCAGGAAATCAACTGTTTCTAACGAGGAACGTCACGTCACGGCGGAATAACAGCAGTCTATCCCGGGGCAGGGCCCCAACAGTTCTAAGGGCGGCGGCTCACTGGAACTTCCCAGCCGTCCCGGACAGGGGTTACTGGCCCACTGTACAGGGGGAGAAATGGAGGCCTGAGGGGTTCCTGACTTTTCCGAGACTCACCAGTGAGTAGGAACAACTCAGGGGGACCGGCCCTCACGGCCCCCAGCCTCCTGCCTGCGGCTCACCTGGGACGACGTCAGCGTCTTGCTGTAGTAATCAGCCGGCATGATGGACTCCACGATGGCCACCAGGCACCAGAAGGCACTCTCCTCCTCATCCAGGACCAGCAGAGCGATGGCCGCCAGCCTGGAGTGGGAGGGAAGGAGGCGGGGAGTGAGCCACAGAAGTCACAGCCAGGTAGCCAGGGAGCCACCTCGGGGATGTCCTGCCCAGCCCCACTCCCCGACCTGGCTCGAGTTCCTGGCGCCCAGGATGAGACAAATGTGCTTTTGAAGAGGGCCACCTAGGGGATTTCCAGAGCAACGAGTCATCTTAGAGCAGGGGCTCTGGAGCCCTGTTGCCTGGGTGTGAGCCCTGGTCCTGTCGCTTCCTTGCTGGGTGACCTTAGGCAAGTCACTGAACCTCTCTGAGCCTCAGCCTCCTCATAGTAATCACAGGACTGTTAGGAGGATGAACAGAGGAAACACACGTTAAATGCCCAGCCCAGTGCCTGACCCACAGTGAGCGCTTTATAGCGTCAGCCCTCCTCACCTTACTGTCCACGTGCTTGGAGGCCGTGGCCAGGGGCTAACATTTCTGAGCTCACTTTCCTCACCCGCAGAGGGGGAGTGACAGTGTCTCCCCCGGGGCTATGAGGCGTCTGAGGGAGCAGACACACACACCGTGCTTGCTCCCCGTCTGGCACATGCCAGGCACTCAGTCCACAGAGTTCTTTTCCTCCTTTGCTTCCCCTCTCCCCAGGGCTATCACGAGGCTCCAGTGAGATCATGGATAAGAAACAACATCCCCAGCCCCGGTGCTGAGCAGGGATGTCGGCCTGGAAGAAGTGCTGTTTCTTCCACTTCTCCCATCTTCCCTGGCAGGCCTCATCCAGGGCCGAGCCAAGAACACATTTCCCAAAACGCACTGGTCTCTCGAGATGCCAGGTGAACACGAGGTCCCTGTTCAGAGAGGTCTGGGGAATGCTGTATCCTCTGCCCCTGGGGGACACCCTTAGGGGGACGCCGCGGTCAGCGCTGGGAAGCCTCACACTCTGGAGAGACTTCAAGAGCACATTGCGTTGTCCAGAGATTTATGCTCTCTGGGCTCTGACTAGATTGGATTTACAACCTCCAGCCTCTTCTGAGGTTCACGCTTTTTTTTTAGAAACAGGGTCAATTCTCTCAAAAGAAAAAAGAAATCCCTTTTCTCTCTCCAGTAGATTGGGAAGGAATTTCTCTCCATTTTGGCTAAAATATTTGTACAAACCCTCCTGAGTCTGGGCTGAGTGGATGCAGAACAGTCCGGTCTCCTGGAAATGGGGTGAGGTGGGGGGCCTTCAGAGGTCATCTAGTTCAGGGATAGTGAATGTGACACGCTGGCCACCACTCTCGTTGTCTGTGCCCAGGGCAGACAGAACTAACTGATCATGGCACTCTTTCCCACTGATCCTGAAGGCTGCCTCAGAAACTCTCACAAGACAAGGCTCCAGGCAGCTCCTTCCTACTGGTCACCCCTGGTCATTACAGAGATGGGAAAATGAGGGCCTGGAAAGCAAAAGTGACGCTCAAGGTCCCCCGTCATTGGTGGCAGAGTGGTGTCCTCTCCTCACCCCGTCCACTGGAGCCCCAGGAAGCGCTCAGTCCTAGAGCGGCTGTCGGCATCGGCTGGGATCTCTGCACACAGGAAAGGTCAGCGATTTGTGTGTGAGCCTCTTGGTGATGTTCAGTGATTTTTACTTTTTTTTGTTGTTGTTTTAATTTTTGGACTCAATCCTGAACCAGAAGGATAGAGCTTTTGTGTCAAAAGGGAGGTTTAATCCTGCTGAGAAGATTCCACCCATGGAAGGCCCTACTTATGGCCCGGGACCTTCAGGAGTGGGCACCACTGTTTCTGAAAGTCCCAATAATGCCACCGGGGACGAGGTGCAACTGAGCTCTGAATCCAGGCGTGCTCTCAGTATGCCTGGTGGGCACTCAGGCCCCGCCTCCTGGGGGAGCCCGAGGGACCTTGTTTCCAAATCATATTGCTCTCAGCCGCCCAAAGACTGGTCCCCTTGAGGATGCCCAGGCCACGGGTTCTCATCTTCAGCAACAGGAAGGTTTGCTGGCCTGGCCTCTGTGTTGGGGCTTAGCTCCTGAGGGACAAATCTGGGAAGCTGCTTACCCTCGGCCAGCCTGTTTCCCACCCTGGACGTGCACCGGCCGCCCCTCCCTGACTCCTGGCAGGTCTCCCTTCCTCTCTACGGGCCTCTCCTGTTGGCGTCTGGAAATTTGTGAGGGCTAGTGAAGATTTTAGATGTGTATTCCTCATGGCTTGTTCACTCTTGTGTGTCTTGATGCTACAGAAATAATAGCACAAGCACAAGAATATCCATGGCAGCATTCTCATAAGAACCAAAAAGAGGAGCCAGCCCGGTGGCGCAGTGGTTAAGTGCATGCGCTCTGCTTCAGCGGCCTGGGGTTCGCAGGTTTGGATCCCAGGTGCGCACCAATGCACCGCTTGTCAAGCCATGCTGTGGCGGCGTCCCATATAAAGTAAAGGAAGATGGGCATGGAAGTTAGCCCAGGGCCAATCTACCTCAGCAAAAAAGGGAGGACTGGCATTGGATGTCAGCTCAGGGCTGATCTTCCTCACAAAAAAGAAAATTAAAAAAAAGAAACCAAAAAGAAAAATTAAATACTTTATGGTGCATTTAGACAATGAAAACTGAGCCTCCATTAAAAAGAATACACCCAAGAGAAAGGAAAACACACATCCACACAAAGGCTTGCCCAGGAATGTTCATGCGTTATTCCCAACAGCCAAAGGTGGAAACACCCCAAATGCCCATCAACTGGAGAGTGGGTAATCAAAATATGGTCCCTCCATGCAATGGATGCTGCTCAGTAATCAAAGAAACAGAATACATACTATGACATGGATGAACCTCAAAAACATGACGTGAGCGAAAGAAGCTCAATGCAAAAGACCACATATTGCATGCTGCACTCATACGAAGCGTCCACACGGGGCGCATTCACGGAGACAGAAGGTAGCGCAGTGGCTGCCCAGGGCTGGGGTGGGACTGGACAGTGACTGCACGGGAGCACGAGGTTTCCTGTAGGGGTGACGGAAATGTCCTACAATCGGAACGTGGTGACGGCTGTGCGACTCTGTGAATTTACTACAGATCATTGAGTTGTACATGTAAAATGGGTGAAAAAGGGAAAAACAGGTCAGTGATGAGTGGCTGCTGGGCCCCACCAGGGCGCACCAACTGCTCAGGGCTGCAGCCAGACGCCAGCCCAGGGTGTTCAGGCCCAAAGTGGGTCTGCAGAGGAGGCAGTGTGGGGGGGAGGACAGAAAAAGCTTTTAAAGCACTCCACCTATATTTTAAGGGGAAATGGCTTTAAAAGGTTTGCTCTAAATTCACACTAAATCATTACCATAATATCGGTCACCCTCTGAACAGGCTGGATCTGTGGCTTAGAAGCAGGTTCTATCCTTGAGGCACCACACACACAGTTCTAATGGCCGCCACTAGACGGCAGCACTCAGACAACCGACAGGGGCCTGCAGGCTGGGGTTTAAGGGCCTTTGAAAGAACGCAATGCACTCTCCACATTTAAACAGGCTCTATTACAAATAACTTTCTATTTAAAGCAATAGCATGAATATCTGCCTAAATACCAATTATCGGTAAAAACAGCATTCAGAGAAAGAGGTAAAGAAATACCCTCTGAGCATCTTCCCCCTCTCAGCCTCAGCTGTTCCTATCTACCCCTCGGCAGCCTTTGTGCTGCCTCTTTCCTTCTATGAGGCCTATCTCAAGACTCCCTCCTGCTGTAGGATTTTCCCCTGCCCCTTCAGCACAGATTAGACTAGAGAGCCCGTATGTGGCTAACCCCATGCCTCCTCTCAAAAAGTTACATCTGACCAGGAAAAAGGTTTCTGGGTGCCCTAGCACATTCTGCCACAGGTCCCATTCCGAGTGAGGGCAGAGGGAGGAAGGCCCAGGTTTTGGGGCCGGAGACCAGGGTCAAGTCTTTCACGCATGGTGAGGCGTCGGGCAGGTTCCTTAGCTTCTCAGACCCTCTCTTGTCTCTTCTGGACAATGGGGCCCTCACATCTGCCCCACAGGGTTTCCTGAGGATTAGAGGATGTCGTATGCAAAGCCCCTGGCAGCTAAGAGGCCCTTAGTCAGTCTTAGTTCCTACCTGACCTTTGCATGAAATGCAAAAATTACTATTTTCATACTAATCTCATAGCTTCCAGTACCCTGCAAAGCTATTCTTTTTTTTTTTGGTGAGGAAGATCAGCCCTGTGCTAACATCTGCCAATCCTCCTCTTTTTGCTGAGGAAGACTGGCCCTGGGCTAACATCCGTGCCCATCTTTCTCCACTTTTATATGGGACGCCGCCACAGCATGGCTTGACAAGCGGTGCGTCAGTGCGCGCCTGGGATCTGAACCCCGGGCCGCCACAGCGGAGTGCGCACACTTAACCGCTACGCCACCAGGCTGGCCCCTGCAAAGCTATTCTTAAAGAGGCTTTGCAAGTTTTGTCTCTTCTGGATTTTACCATGTTCAAACAGATGAGAAGTGCACAGGCTTTTGCTTAGCTGTTGCATAAATGAATGAATTTCTACAGACATCCCCTGCAGCAGACGTCTAGAGCAGCATGAAATCTGAACATGTTTTCCCAGGAGGCTTAGACTGAGAGGCATTATTGTTGGGGTTTCACTTGGAATTCCCAGTAATTGTACATGTATATGCTCAATTTCACTCAATTTAGGCTGGAAATAAAGTATCAAAAATATCTACCCTTGAGAACCATTCAGATTTGAGTAGGGACACTCTGAAGGTTTATTCTGTGTTAAATAAATGTCACACACCGCCTATTCTGAAAAAAGAGCAGAATGGCTTATGTAAATTTTGCTTGAGTATGTATATGTTTAAATTAAATTGAAACAAACCTTGCTTTGGGAAACAGTTGAGATCATGCAACCTCTATCGAGATACCTGGTGGCATTCCTGAGTGTCCCCCATAGTCCTGGACAGGGCAGCCTGACCAGGTCACTCCCCGCCCCCATCCCCGATCCCTCATCTGCCGCTGTTGGACCAGAAGTAGAAATTGATCCAGGCTGGGCCAACGAGATTCCTTCCTTCAGGAATTTGGGCCTGGGACACGAGGGTACCAACACGTGGGAAGACTCGCTGAAGGGCTCTGGACTCGGGCTGAGGTCTCCATGCTGACAGCCCCGATGGGCCCTAAGTGTCCAGGGAATGATGGACAGAAAGGCTGGTCTCTGAGAGAAGGAAGCAGACGCAGAGTGAGAGAGGCAGAGACCACGCCCCACAGAGGGCTGCAGAGCAGTACTGTGGTGCTGCACAATCTCGGGGGACAGCATCCCCAGGAAACACGGCATGAATGGCGCCCTCTGGGGTTGTGCCATGCTGCGGCCCTGTTGGAGAGAGCAGTGGCCCTGGCTCCCAGTGACCATCTCGTCCTAGCTCTATGTCCTTTTCCTGGCTTTTGTGAGCGTCCCCTGTGACATTTACAAATTCTCTTTTCCTTGGGCTCCTCTGAGTGGCTTTTACTGAAGCAGCTGATCCCTGAGCCAGACAGTCCTAGGATGTATGGGCTGCACACGACACAACTTTCTGTGTGAGTGACACTTCCCTGAGCACAGATCGAAGGAGAGGGCACGGGCCCAGGCGCCCTGAGCGCCGGCCATCTCTGTCTTGAACACATCCTCTCACCTGCCTGTCCCCATCTGTACAGTGGGGACCAGGCCTCCTGGGCTCACCTCTCTGGGTTCTTGCGAGGTCCAAAGAGACAGAGGGGTGCTCTGAAAGGTAAAGGCTGTGGCCTGGGGCTACGGTGCTCACCTGTTCAGGCCCTGGCAGTAGCCGATGGAGGGGTTCTGCCAAGAGAAGGCCAGCAGCACCCGGCGGAGCTTCTCGGGGAAGGTGGAGGTGGGGCAGGTGAAATGCTTGTTGTTGGGGAAGGTCCGGTTCAGGTCCAGCTCGATCTGGCGGGCGGCAGGGTGCTCGCGGGCCTGGCCCCAGCTCAGCAGCTCCTGGTAGCGGCCGGGGGCCTGCAGGTGCTGGACGCGGAGGTGCACCAGCCACCTCCAGACCCGCGGCCGGTGCTCGCGGGGCACGCCCTCCCGCAGCAGCTGCTTGAGCTCGGCCGAGGGCGCCAGCTCGCCCAGGGCGGCCCAGCGCTCCCGCAGCGGCCGCTCCACGGCCTCGTGGGCCAGCAGGTGGTGGGAGCGCACCTCCAGCGCCTGGATCTTGGCCAGCAGCTTCAGGTCTTCCACCTCGTAGTTGGGCACCGTCAGGAAGCCATACTCGTCATACTCACTGCCAGCAAAAGCCCGTGTCAGCAACACCTCGTGGCACCCTTCCCCAGATATGGGGCAGCAGGGAGAGGGGGACCCTGGGCAAGTTCCTGCCTTGCCTTCCCTGTGGGTTAGCCATGCAGCCCTGGGCCAGTCACTTCAGTTCCCCAAACCTCAGTTTGCTCATCTGTACAACGGGTACAGGAACTCCTGCTCTGCCTCATGAAGACCCAGTGAGACCCCTGATGTAAACTGCTGGGGGCTCGACAGTGCCTGCTACATGGTGAGTGCTGAAGAGATATGCACTCCTTCATTCTGTGCAAATATAAAGGACCCTCTCACTACTTCATGCAGCCTCAGCCCCCAGGAGTCCCGCACTGCCAACACAGACCCCCACTTCCACAGCCAGTAAGCTCAAGGATGGATGGGGAACAGACAGCACCCATGACCAGCAGAGGTGGGACAGCTGGGGACCCATTCCAGATGGCCTTCCATTTATTTGCCCCTACCGTGTGCTCTGCATGTGCTACCTCATGTAATCCCACTGATCCTGCAAAGGGATCTCAGCCCACATCTCACGGAGGCTGAACATGAGGCTCAGAAAGGTTAGGTGACGGGTCCAAGGTCACACAGTGAGAAAGTCAGGTCTGGCTCCAAAGCTTGGGCTCCTGCCACTGGGCCACCCAACCTCCAGAGGCTTTGACGCCAGCCACAGCCCCTTCTGTTATACTTTACTGCCCATGTCCGCTGTGCTTGCAAGGGCTTGTCTCCCCCTCTCCCCTCTCTGACAAACACCTCTGGGAGGCAGCCTGGGGAAGTAGAGAAAACAGAGCTCTAGAGGCTGATGCACTAACGTGCTGTGTGCCCTCGGGCAAGGGGCTGCCTCCTCTGAGCCTGCACCACCTCGGCTGTAAAATGAGGCTCACCCCAACCACGTGCTCATTCATCTGAAGATACGAGGAGGTAAGGGATGTGCAGTGCTCGCACACGGTCAGCAGGAACCAGCAGCAGGGCAGCTGGGGACCCCGGGTCATGCACACCCAGCCTGGGGGGGCCGCTGGGCTTACCTGATGGGGCTCAGCACGACGCTGTCCGCCGAGGCCTCGCTGGCTTCCCACTGCAGCGCCTCCTGGGTGAGCTGCCTCAGCAGCTTTGCGCACTCGCTCGCCTCGTCCCCCACGGCCTCCTGCAGCCTCCGCAGCCCCGCCAGGTACTTGCTTTCCACTTGGCAGTTCCTGGCTTGGAGGTAGGCACACTGGGGCGGGGTGGGGAGGCGCTGGTCAGGCCACCTGCTTGGGCTTGGCTGCCCCCGAGGCCTGAGGCCTGGATAGCTTTAGGCAGCACAGCCCTTCTTCCAGCTCTCATCCCCTCCCCACCCCACCCTTCATATAAGAGAAGGAGATGGGCCCCGAACCCAAGTGTTTACCGCAAGGCAGAAAGGGCTCCAGGCAAGAGAGGCCCAGGCCCAGAGCTGGAGTGGGATTCAGAAGAAAGAGCAGAGAGGTGGGCAGGGGCAGCACAGGCTCTTGCATGGCCTGCAGTCCCATCCAGGTTCAGCCACTGCAGGCTGGGTGACCTATGGCCAAGTTACTTAACCTCTCTGTGCCTAAGCTTCTTCGTCCAAACAGTGGAGATTAATATAGAGTCTGCCTCAGGATTCTGGCGAAGGTCAGACAAGCTGATGTGCGTAACACCCTTCCCAGGGCGCTAGCCCCAGAACAAGCTCTCTGTAGGTGGTATTACTGAGCAGTGTCCAGGGGAGTGACATGCAGCTCTGGACACTGTGCTTGTGCTCTCTGCTGCCACCAGGTGGGCTCTTTCGCTTCCTCCAACACACCACCTCTCTCCCACCTCACGGACACACACTCACACTCCCGTGTGCCTGCCCCTCCCCCTGCCTTGAACTTTTGTGTTTCTATTTAGACAAGCTGGGCGATGCTGGGCAAGGCAGGCAACCTCCCTGGGCCCTGTTTTCCTTCTCTGTAAGATGGGACAGTAAAAATCTGCCTCGTCACACTGCCATGACCTCTGGGCCAGCCTGGCTCTGTCTCACCCTGGGGTGGCAGAGGGGGAGCCTCCTGGCCAAGGTGCCACTCTGCTGCACCCCTGCCCAGTCACCGTCAACAAGCCACCCGGCGAGCCTGTTCTCCCCCCGTTCCACCTGGCTCCCACCTCCTCGTCTCTCCACCGCCGGGCCGCTTCCTGAGTCCCCTCACCAACACCCTCCTCCGGGATTTCTGCTACAGACTCCCAAGTCTCCCTGCTTCCAGGCCTGCCTCCTTGAGTCCACCCTCCACCGAGCAGCCACCGCAGTTTTCTCAAAACTTCAGTCTGACTGAGGGCCTCCCACTCAAAACCCTTCAACAACCCCGTTTCCTCCAGAGTTCCTCCAAACTCCTCACCCTCAGCCTCCTGGCTCACCCTCCCCACCCCTCCTCCCTGCCTCTCAGCCCACAGGTCTTGACTACGTGTCTCTGCTTGGAAGGCCTTTCTCCACTCTGTTTGCCTGGACAACACTAACTCACCTTTAGGACTTGGCTCAGAAGGCACCTCCACCAGGAAGCCTCCCCTGACTTTCTTCTTCCCTTTGGGCCCCAAAGAATCCTGTGTGCCCAACTGCACCCTGATTGTGTTTGACTCCCTCACGAGTCTGTGCCCTCCTTGAAAAGTCGGAGAAGGACTGGGGTTAGCTCTTCTTTAAATGTTTGGTAGAATTCACCAGTGAAGCCATAAGGTCCAGGGCTTTTCTTTGTCGGGAGATTTCTGATTACTGATTCAATCTCGTTACTAGTTATAGGTCTGTTCAGATTTTCTATTTCTTCTTGATTTAGGCTTGGTAGGTTTTGTGTTTCTAGGAATTTGTCCATTTCATCTAGGTTACCCAATTTGTTGGCGTACCATTGTTTATAGTACTCTCTTATAATCCTTTTTATTAATTGGTAGCAATGTCCCCATTTTCATTTCTGATTTTGAGTCTTCTCTTTTTTCCTTAGTCCATCTAGCTAAAGGTTTGTCAATCTTGTTGACCGTTTCAAAGAATCAACTTTTGGTTTCACTGATTTTCTCTATTTCATTTATCTCTATTATAATCTTTATTATTTCCTTCCTTCAGCTAGCTTTGGGTTTGGTTCTTTTTCTAGTTCCTAAAAATTGTACAGTTATCAAGTTGTAAAAAAAAATGTAAACTTGTAAAGTTAGGTTGTTGATTTGAGATCATTCTTGTTTTTTAAGCATTTATAGCTACGAATCTCCCCCTTAGCGTTGCTTTCACTGTGTCCCATATGTTTGGGTATATTGTGTTTTTTTTCATTCGTCTCTTAAGTATTTTCTAATTTCCCTTGTGATTTTTTCTTTGATTCATTGTTTAAGAGAGTGTTGTTTAGAGGCCAGCCCTGTGGCTTAGTGGTTAAGTGCACACCCTCCGCTACTGGCGGCCCGGGTTCAGATCCCAGGTGCGCACCGATGCACCGCTTCTCCGGCCATGCTGAGGCCGCATCCCACATACAGCAACTAGAAGGATGTGCAGCTACGACACACAACTATCTACTGGGGCTTTGGGGGAAAAAAACGGAGGAGGATTGGCAATAGATGTTAGCTCAGAGCCGGTCTTCCTCAGCAAAAAGAGGAGGATTAGCATGGAAGTTAGCTCAGGGCTGATCTTCCTCACACCAAAAAAAAAAAAAAAAGAAAGAGAGTGTTATTTAATTTCCACAAATCTGTGAATTTTCCAGTTTTACTTCTGTTGTTGATTTCTAACTTCATCCCATTGTGGTTGGAGAAGATACTTTGTATACCTGTCTTTTTAAATCTATTGAGACAATTTGTGGCCTAATGTATGGTCCTTCCTGGAAAATGTCCCACGTGCACTTGAGAAGAATGTGTATGCTGTAGCTGTTGGGTAGAGTGTTTTGTACATGTGTGTTAGATCTAGTTGGTTTATTGAGTTAAGTCTTCTATTTCCGTACTTATCTGCTGTCTGGTTGTTCTACCCATTACTGAGTCGGGTATTAAAATCTCCAATTATTACTGTAGAACTGTCTATTTCTCCTGTCAATTCTGTCAGTTTTTGTCTCATATATTTTATTTTGCTAGTCTGTTAATAGGTGTGTAAATGTTTATAACTGTTGCATCTTCTGATGCACTGAACCTTTTATTAATATATAATGTCTTTGTCTCTTGTAACTTTTCTTTTTTTTTTTAAAGATTTTATTTATTTATTTTTTTCCCCTTAAAGCCCCAGTAGACAGCCGTACATCACAGCTGCACATCCCCCCAGCCGCTGCATGCGGGACGCGGCCCCAGCACGGCCGGAGAAGCGGTGCGTCGGTGCGCGCCCGGGACCCGAACCCGGGCCGCCAGCAGCGGAGCGCGAGCACCCAACCGGTAAGCCATGGGGCCGGCCCGTAACTTTTCTTTTTAATTTAAAGTCTTTTTTGTAGGATATTAGTATAGCCACCCCTGCTCTCTTTTGGTTACTATTTGCAAGGAATATCTTTTTCCATCCTTTCACATTCAATCTATTTCTGTCTTTGGATATAAAGTGAGTCTACTTTTGTAGACAGCATATAGTTGGATCATGTGTTCTTATCCATTCTGCCCATCTCTGTCTTTAAAGAGTTTAATCTATTTACATTTGGGGTATTTACTGATAAGAGGAGACTTACTTCTGTCATTCATTTTGCTATTTTTTTCTATATGACTTATAGCTTTTTTGTCCCTCATTTCCTGCATTACTGTCTTATTTTCTGTTTAGTTTTTTGCAGTAAATTTTTAAATTCCTTTCTCATTTCCTTTTGTGTATATTCTATAGCTATTTTCTTTGTGGTTACCATCAGGATTGCATTCAAAATCCTAAAGTTAGGGCCGGCCCCGTGGCTTAGCGGTTAAGTGCGCGCGCTCC